ACAGGCCACACAACACTGCTGTAGCTTCAATAATTACTTAGCGACAAGTAATATTAAACTAGAAGACTAAATCACTTAAGAAAGCAAGGCACACACAGGTCTTAAGTACTCTCACGTTCAAATGGTCAGAGTCTATAGCCGGACAATATGGACGGCTGTCTGATCAAGGTAAAACTGCCCGGTAGACTGCCAGGTCAAGAAAAAACTGCCTCGTGTTGCGAGTGTGCAGTGCAATTAAAGACTTCTGTGACAGGGGAGGTTATCCTCAACTCATGTCGCCATTGGTTGGGATAATCATCTGATCAGAATCATTCAATCAGATTTTAATGGAAAATTTCTATGTCTCAAACACCTTAATAAGTCAGTGGAAAAACCCCAGGTGTTACACCATCATTCCATATAAGGAATTATACAATGTCAAAATAAAAATGACTCGACCTAAGTAGGTCACATCCCCTCCCTTTTTGGAAGTGACAGATAGGTTCCACAAAACATACATAAGGAACCAATCTGGCAATGAAATAACAAAAATGTTTTACAAATGTAGGCAATCAAAATCATAATACCAGATGAAAATATCCCTGAACATAAAAGGGAAGTAACTCCAACTTTTACAATTGGTGAAAGGGGAGTAACCCTTCAAAAAGTAATTATACATCAAAATCCCTCAAACAAGGGTATTACAATATTTCCATGTGGATATTAAAAGTGGTAAACCCGCCAGGGTAAGAGCCTTCAAATGTTGGCCAACAGGAGGATTGCTGCCAAAAAGGGGAAGCACGGGGTTGAGGCGGTTTCCTGACACCGGTGGTTTCTTATGCACCAACATATATGTGTCAGCCGACTCAGCAGCCTTCTGGATGTCAGTTATCTTGTTATCCAGTATGTGTAGTCGTATCTCTTCAGGCAGGGACGTTAGGAATTCTTCCCTTAGGATAAGTGACCTGAGTTTCTCAAACTCAGAAACTTCCTCAGAGTGTAGCCACCTTGAGAATATTTTCTCCTTTTCAAAGAGAAATTCCACATATGATTGTGTGGGTAACTTGCGGAGTGTTCGGAATTTTGTCCGATAGGCCTCGGGCGTCAGTGCGTAGGCCTTTAAAATGGCAGTCTTGACCAAACTATAGTTATTTTGAACGTCGTGAGAGAGTGCCTGGTATGTTTTTGCAGCTTTCCCAGTAAGGACAGAGCTCAATAAAGCAGTAATGGAAGTTTCGGGCCATTCACATGTCTTCGCTAAACTCTCAAATGAGTTAAAGAAAACGACCAAATCTGTTTCATCAAATTTAGGAACTAATTTCCCAAATTTGGCAATCACTTGCCCTACCGACAACTTTTTTGGATCTACCAGAGAAGTGACATCACTAACTTGACCAAATTCTGATTCCAACCTCCTCCTATCTAAAGCAATTTTAACCTCTAACTCCTGTTCTTTTAATGCCTTCTCTAAAGCAACTTTCTCCTCACGAAGTAACACACCAGCCAACAAACTTTCATCAAATACTCCTTCATTAATGAAATGAACAACAATTTTATCTCTCAACACCTCTGACTTCTGCGTAACAGAATAATCCAATTTCAATTCCTTAACAAGACTAACCAAAACTTTTCTACTCAACTTTTCTACATCTTCAAAAGTAGGATTAGCCAAAAAAGACTCCATAACACTAACTTTCAAATCACAACAAGCCTAGATCCTTTAAATTAATACACAGCGTTGGGCCGTGTACTTGACCTCTAAATGTAGGACGTGACACGTCTGCTTATTTGACCTAGATACTCTAGCCTGAGCGCGCGTTGTAAGACCACGGCGCTACACTGGATAAAAAAAACAACCAGATCCAACTAACCTTAGTATTCAACTGATATAACCAACAACTGGAACGACAGATTAAATCCCGGACGAGCCCCCACTTTGTTACGTTAACCTATCTATCAGCCAAATAGAAGGAGAACGTCCCCGGATTCTTTTTTCGGGGTCATATGCAAATGCCTTACGGCCTAAGTGGATGAACACTTAACACAACGACCACTAGGGCTCGAATTCAATGTCTAGGGAAGCTAGTGATACTATTGTAATTAACACTCATCCAATCTACATACGACCTTTTAATCAGCGAACACAGTAGTGGTAGAACACAAGGTTGAAACTAGATAAAATATTTAATGTATAAAATATCAAAAACCCAACTTACAGAATGCAGGAAATAACACTATCACAGATTTCTACACTGTCTAAATATAGCCACAGGCCACACAACACTGCTGTAGCTTCAATAATTACTTAGCGACAAGTAATATTAAACTAGAAGACTAAATCACTTAAGAAAGCAAGGCACACACAGGTCTTAAGTACTCTCACGTTCAAATGGTCAGAGTCTATAGCCGGACAATATGGACGGCTGTCTGATCAAGGTAAAACTGCCCGGTAGACTGCCAGGTCAAGAAAAAACTGCCTCGTGTTGCGAGTGTGCAGTGCAATTAAAGACTTCTGTGACAGGGGAGGTTATCCTCAACTCATGTCGCCATTGGTTGGGATAATCATCTGATCAGAATCATTCAATCAGATTTTAATGGAAAATTTCTATGTCTCAAACACCTTAATAAGTCAGTGGAAAAACCCCAGGTGTTACACCATCATTCCATATAAGGAATTATACAATGTCAAAATAAAAATGACTCGACCTAAGTAGGTCACAGTGGTTAACGATGATGGTCGGCCATCAAAGATGTGTGTGGGGGGGGGGGGGAATGGGGTGGATTAGTATGAAGGAGAATTTAAGATACGGACAAATCAATCCCTCTTAACATCCCTTCATTACTTTGATATTTATTTTGAAAAAAAAATATCAATGTTATAGAGACTTATATCATTAAAAATAAAAAATAAAATGAAAATAGACGAGATACAATAAACGATTTTTAAAAATATATTTTGTTTACGAACATATGCCGAGGTCACAGAAACAAGTGAACTCTACTTCACTTGCCCCATAGACCGTCAGGTTTGAAAGGGAAACTACTTTTTTTACGAAACCAAAACCAAATAGGTGTTTCCATGTTTTTCAAGGCATCACCTGACACGACATTAAAAGAAAGAAATCAGCGATATCATGCAGGTCTAGAGCGACACAAAGTTTTAGCACATATGTCTGCCTTGCGTTGGGTGTTTGAGGTTATATAGTCTAACTTAATCTCCACTAATTGGAGCGATAACTTTTAAATTTGTGCAATAATGTTCTTTTTTTGAAGACAATGCTTGGCTATTTATAATTTAAATCTGATCACATATTACAACATTCAATAACCTGTTTTTTTTTCAATATACAACAATACATGGGTCGGCTAGTCAAGACGGTAGAGCTCATAGCTGCTAAACGTCAAAGTCCCGAGTTCGAACTCTCGGTAGACTATCGATAGCCGTGTACAGCAACCCATCTAAGAGACAAAATTTCAAAATTAAAACGTATGCTGTGTTTTAGTTTGTTTCTTGGTGGACAAAGGCTGTGATTGCTAATGAATAAAGAAAAGCAGGATAAAATCGTGGGACGGAATGGTCTAGCGGTAGAGAGCTGGTGTGCTAACCCGTAAGTCTCGAGTTCGAATCTGAGTCCACCCAACTATGTTGGGTTCCTAACTCACGTTAGGGAAAGTAAAGGCGGCTGGACATAGTGCTGACCACACTATGTCTTCATATGCCGAGGTTACAGAATCAAGTGAACTCTACTTCACTTGCACCATAGACCGTCAGGTTTGAAAAGGAAACGTTTAGGCTAAAATTGAAATCAATGACGCATAACCAACTGAAACGTAATGCTTAATTGTGTTTGGACATATCATGTCCAACATTACAATAAGGAACATAGATGACGAAACAACAACTAAAACGTGGTTTTAGCCGCCTGTATCATACATGTCAATACAATTCAAATGTACTTTTTAGTTTTCATTTGTTTTTATAGAGCCTGTCAGCCGCACACAATTGAGAAAAAGAGACAGAACGCGTTATAGAGAGAAAAGATAAATGAGTATATCATCAAATTCAAATGTCGCAGTTACATTAAAACATCATCGCTATAGAAAACAAATAACCCGTATGTTTCTTTGTACATTTATTTATTAATGAACATAATCTTCTTGTAACAAATCCTACACAAAACATTTCTCAGACACTTTAATTGTATGCGTCATATGTTTCCCTTTATGATGTTTTAACGAAGATTTTCCCCATTAAGGATAAATCAATTGCTGATAGATCTTGTTTTTTAGTTTGACTTAGATTTAAAGATAAAAAATGTGGGCGAAGGATTTAGTATCGATCGACTACTTGTTTGTTTCATATTTTATTTGATGGCTGTATGTTTTGAACAGCCCACTAGCATACACATATTGTATGTGATGGCTGTATGTTTTGAACAGCCCACTAGCATACACATATTGTATGTGATGGCTGTATGTTTTGAACAGCCCACTAGCATATACATATTGTATGTGATGGCTGTATGTTTTGAACAGCCCAAACCCGACCCACGCTTGTATGTGAACACGACAACAACCGCTAGCATACACATATTGTACTCTGAAGTGTTGTACTGAACCAAGTAATTTTATTTTAAAACAAACAATGCATTTTATAAATATTAAAAAAAACATACATCTGTTTTGACAAAGAAAAAAATAATGAGTGATATTTTCAACACACTTGTTATTAATATAAGTTAATGTAAATATTTTCCTAAAAATTGTTGGAACTTTTAGCTGTAATTTTTTTTTTAATTTAAAAAGATTTATAAAGTAAATCAATATACTTTCAGGACTAATTTTCTAAATATTCTCTTTTAGTCGTTTCGGTAACTAGCTTTGTTTTCCGGGTCCGGGCTGTTAGCCTAGAGCCCAGTTATATATATATATATATATATATATATATATATATATATATATATATATATATATATATATATATATATATAAATCAAGGTACTAGTGACAAAACTGGCTGTTTCGGGGAGATTAAGAAAACAAATTAGAAAAAAAAAGTTCGAAAATAGAAATAAAGTGTTATTGAATATAGGTACTAATCAGCAACCTTTTTTTGGCAGTAAATTTAAGATCTAAATCATTTAAGGTTGATGTCATCACAAATCTTCCAGCAGATGAGATTTTCCCGCCTTCTGTACGGCTTCCATTACCCTCTTCAGCAGGACTGCTTCGATGTTCGTCCTGTTCTTGTTTTCGGAGAACGAGTTGAATGTTACACCATTTTTGTGCTCGAAAACATGGAAAGCTGGAAAAAAAATTAAAACTGTTAAAAGCTGAAAACAATTATATAAAATATTTGAAAAGCCGAAATCAAATATCAAACATATGAAAACCTGAAGAAAGAGAATAAAAAATGCCATTATATGTAGGTTTTATTATTTTAAATAACATGTTTTATCTTTAAAATATGTAAGGTTAATATGTAAATGAGCAACTAAGCGCATACGTGAATTGATTTGTATATATATATATATATATATATATATATATATATATATATATATATATATATATATATATATATATGTATATAACCTACTGATATTTAGTAAGAGTTAATTATTAGCCTCCTCTATATTATTATAACAAACTAAACATTAGCCTTCCCTGTAATCGTATAACGAACCAATCGCTAACCTCTTTATATTAGTATAACGAACTAGCTTTTAGACACCCTTATAATCGTATAACGACCTATATTAGTATAATGATATTACCAATTTGACTTCCCTATAATCGTTTAACAAACTAACCGTTAGCTTCCTCTATTTTAATCCATGTGGTAGGACGTCGATCATTCAAGACTCTCTGAAAACCTTCGTGCCAGACAGGATGACAGATGCCAAAGTAACATCCAACCTGGGGAATATTTACATATATATATATATATATATATATATATATATATATATATATATATATATATATATATATATATAGATATATATATATACATATATATATATATATATATATATATATATATATATATATATATATATATATATATATATATATATTTATATGTATATATAAATACATATATATATATATATATATATATATATATATATATATATATATATATATATTCATGTATATATATACATATAATGCTTTTTACGTTAGTATTGCATGCGAACTATATACGACCATGTATTAGTAATATTGGTAATTGATATTTGTGTTGTTTAAATTACTTTAAATACTACTTAGGGTACTGGCAGGTAAGAAAAATAGAAATAGTATGACTAAAATGTTTCAAAAATACGTTCACATAGATAGAGAACCTTAATTTAGTAGATTAATTTAAACTTGTTTATTTAACTATGTGTGTTTTTATAGCATTGCTTTTTTCTGGGATAGTGGGAATAACTTCATTGTTAGGTACATTGGCTAGAATTAGATTTAGATTATGTCTACTACTCGAATGGTAGCATACGTGTTTTAAGTTTTGGTCGAATAGATTGTCTAAACTTAATTCTAATTTACAGGCATAAAAGTCTACTTTGTATACATATTGCCTAACTCATTTGTAGGATGTTCCGTCTAATATTACAATTAAGAACGAAGAAGATGAAGAAGTTTGTCATGATCTAGTGATATAAACAATAGTTAATGTTTCGTTTGAAGTGTACTAACTAATGTCCAAATATGCTCAAAATATTGTTAAAGGCGCTTGCTTAATGTAGATACTACCTCGGTTCATTTATGTCTGTTCGTTACTAAATTAAAATTGTAATTAAAACAACATTCACAAGGGCATTGCTCTGGTCAGTTAAGTTAGTCTTAGAATGTCTGAAGATATAAGAAAAAATAAACTCCTCTACCTGTAGTCTGGTGTCAATATGAAAACTTTCTGGGAATCTCTCGTAGAGCTTGTAGTACATGTAGCAGGAATTGAATCCCCAATGCTCATCACGGTAAGTCCTGTATGGTCAGGGGATTCAAACAAACATGTATCAGCCATGTCTCATTAAAACAATTAGTGTAAAGATCAATGTTAAACTAATTTACTTTAATTCGTAAATTACGTTTTTCATTCTTTACAATGAATTAAAGTTCCCCTTCTTACTCTTACGGTCCGTAGGGCAAGCGAATTAAAGTTTACCAGTTTCTGACACTTTGGCTTATGAAATTATTTTTTTCTATCACCACTATGACCTGTCGCCTTTACGTCACCTAACGTGAGTTAGGTACCCATCAGAACTGGGTGGACTCAGGTTCTGAAGTATTGAGCTCATTACTTCTACAGTGAACACATTTCTGTACAACTTACTTAAAAGATTCCAGAACTTTCGCCAGGTAAAGTGCTTTAGGTTTGGAGACGATCACACCGTTGTTGATCATCCTAGGCCAGGTGTCCACCTGCTGCCAATCATAAGTCCCACTGGTCGGGTACCTTCTTTGTTCTACAGACAGGGGCTTGACCCAGATGACGTCATTGTCCTTGAACGGAAGTTAATAAATATATTTGCAATGGTGGAATTATCGGTTATATTGATAAAACGTTAAATGTACAAGCCCTATTTAACTGTATTGTCAAATAAAAGATGAGGCTCGTTAGCTGGGGACAGCCACTCTTCAATGAGACACAACTCCAAAATCAAACAACTGCTGCCTTGTAGTATGTTCTTGGTTGTACAAAGGCTATGGAAGCTAATCCAAAAAAGAAAAGCAGGCTGAAATCGGAGTCAATGGCCTCAATGGCGCCTAACTAGTTTACACGTATACTTAATTAAGTTGGAGGGAATCCCTTTCATGACTAAAATTAAGAACGAAGAAGAAGAAATAAAAGAATTCAAATAAACAGGACAAACATTGTATATTCCCCCGTGTTTATAGAGGATCAGAACACGTAGTATGTCTGTCTTGTGGGTTATATCGTTGACATTCTGCTGAAACACAGAATCTGGTCGGTCGACCTGAAATATAATGTATAGTATAAAATACATTACTTAGTAACTAGAAATTGTGCTACTTGCATTTTCTCAAAATAACATTTGTATTGTATTTTATAGTTACATCCGTATTTTGTATGTTATAAAAGTTAAAATATTTAAATGTAATACGTGATTCGAGATTAAACTAAAGACAGTTTGAAACATTTGGTTGTTTTTTTAAATATATTGTATATGTATTTGTGTTATAAAATATGTATATTCTGTACTCTTGAGTTTTATATTGTAAAAGCTGACATTGAAATTCGTTAAAAATTATTTTAAAAAATCAATTTGATAGACATATACACTCTGACTAAACAAATTTAAAAAAACAAGTCCACGATTTTTAACACAAAATTATTATAACACAATTTAAAATGTGTTATTGAAAGCAACAACATGATGACATTTAATAAATTAATGTACATTCTAATATATAACATGAAGCGACACAATCGATAAAGAATTATTGAATATAAAGGGCAATGTCTTTTAACTATTAACTGTAAAATATTAAACATAACTGGACACGAACCTGTGTATGATGTGTTATTAAAACAAAAATCCGGAAACGATATGTAAACTAAACTTACATACATAAACATGACTAAACTTACGTAAACAAACGTGACGTTTTCTTTTTTTAGCCGGTCCCAAAATGTTCCGGAAGGTTCTGTGTTACCATACACGTACACTCTGTGGGGTGGGGGAGGGGGGTGACATACACTTTGGTTAGTGTCGAAGTTTTTGTGGTTCAAATGAGAATATTTTTAAAAATCACCATACTTTTAAAGATACATACACATTCAAGCCACCTGTCTAAATCTCGTCATGCACGCATGCACATACACATACACTCAAACAAACATACACACGAATAAGTATACACACATGCATGCATAAGACATGTCACTTAGCACAAACATATTTAAAACCAATATAACCCTACACACATAAAAATCCACATTTCACACACACACACAAACACGTGTATTGAACCCCTACAAAAATCTAAATGTCACAAACACATTAAAAAACTCATCACTAACACATACAAACCAATCTTGACCAAAACATATAAAAATTCACATTTCACAAAAACAAGAACTCAACTGTAAAAAAATCAAATACAACCTACTTCTCACAAACACATTAAAAAAAACACATTTCACAAACATTAAAACTACTCACCTGTAAAAACACACAAAAATCAACTTGTCACAAACACATACTAAACGAACATTTCACAGACGCACGTACTCAACTGTGAAAAGCACCTACAAGTACTCACCTTTCAAACCGAGCTAAATACAAAGCCGATAGAACACTGACATATTTCTCAAAGTGCCACTGGACAGCAGAATCAGGGTTAGGGTTTAGGAAGATCACGTGATTGATGAGTGGTACCAACTTTGATGAGTCCTAGGAATGAAAGCTAAGAGTTATAAACTTGATTGTTTTTTCTCGAAAATAACCTTGAAAATATTCTTTCTTTTAAGGAGCCTAATTTAAAGCAGGTTTAAAAAAAGAGTTAACTCTATATTTATACGAGAATATTTTACATGTAGTAAAAAATAAATATGCATAGATTTTTTTAAAAGCTTAAAGGTAATTTATACTGTTCAAAACACAATAAGACCAATCTCGATATACCACGAAAGGACCTTTTGTATATGAAGGGCTCAGTGGAAAAAGTACTTAAGTTACATTTTTTCAAAAATGAGTTAAGACCGGTATATTATGTGAATACCTGCCCTTAACCATCCCTGTAAATTTGGGCCATGGAAAAAGTACAGAAGTAGCTTAATTCGAATACTATACAACAGCTGTTATGGTATTTCGGCTTCAATTTAAAAACTTTGCACTCATTTTTCTCAAAACTCTCAAAATACACTTAAGTACTTTTTCCAATGAGCCCTTCATATACACATATATTTACCCATATTTTTAAGTAGGCCTACATCTCTAAATCGTGTGTAAATTTTGTCACTGATAGCAATATACATACCCATATAAATATATATATATATATATATATATATATATATATATATATATATATATATATATATATATATAAATTAAATACAGTAATTATCAATAAACTTACAACACTGTGTTCAGTTGGAGCATAGTTTAACCATCTCAAATAAGCACAGAAAGATGTTGAGCAGTTTAAAATCTTCTCTGGGTAAAACGGCCCGGGCAACACAACACAAGGTGACAACTCGTTTTCAAACCGTTCCTCAGTTAAGCACTCATGTTTTTTACTTAAGACTTTGTTTTTAAATCGTTTGATATCGGATGGTTTTTTCCCATCAATTCCTTGTTTAACAAACACTATCATATCTTCACTGCTAGAACTACCCTGTTTTTGATAAGTGAAATATTTCCCAGTCTTCCATGTGTCAGGGACTTGCGTCAACACGGCCCTCTCACCTACATAGACGCCCCCAACTTTGTTTGATGCCATTTGTTCCAGAGCAAAGTCCACGGCGTCCATTGTGCTACAGTTGATTGGTCGGTCTATTTTCTTTAAGACTAAATTTGCCAAAGATTGTTGTAGATCTGGGAACCAAGAATGATAGTAGCTCCAATCCGTCTTGGGTAAAGTGTTATGGTAGAAGAATATTTGAAACGGTTCTAAAATTCTGACGATACTGAGAAACACCAAGTAATCTGCAAAGGTGAAAACTTTATCCCCGCACCAAACGTAATGAGCTGTTGTAGGAATCTCTCCAGGGTTAAACTGTTTCATTTGAGGACCACTGAGAATATATCTAGGGTCTATCTCTTCGCTTTGAGGATCACTGGTTCCATCGTTTGTTTCATCACTGGATTCATCACCAATTTCATCGCTGGATACATAAAACTTCTGAACGACTTTTGTTCTGGAGATTGAAGGTTCACGTAGTTTAGCTATACCTTTACCGTCTTTTAAATAATGTTTACTCCTTCCAAGGAAAAGCATAACACCGATCAAAACTATTGTTATCCCAAAAAGAAACTTGAAGCTTTGTATCATCATTTCTTTCCCTTTTTGTCTAGAAATGGAAAAAAGCACTACATCTTACATGTTATTTCTTTATTTAAAAATCTGATCATTGTCTGCACAATATAAACAATGATTTTTTATATTAACAATTTTTCACCTTCAAACTGAATTGATTAGCTTTAAAAAAATTACATATACTTTTTTTTAAGCAAAGACAGAGAATCGAAACAACGAGCTAAACAATAAACAACTGTTTGACTACATATATGTTGTTTTTTATGGTCAATGATGGTCTCTCTCTTTCTCTCTCTCTCTCTTTTTAAATTGACAAAAGTGAAAAGATGTGTGTGAATAAATACTTACAGTATTAAAATAATATATCATCAAAGCACAAACACTACAAAGCGTATGCCTTCAGATACGCACGGAAAACAACAGAGACGATTGAGGGTGATCTAGCGCAAAATTCGTGTCACACATCTGCTGCCGTTTTACGGCTTCTTTCTATCCACAATAACACAGTCAGATTACACCGTGTTTAAAACAGTTAAATGTGTTTTATAAGGAGCAGTTTCTTGATAAGTTATCTGATACAACGTCTTCATGCGGGGGAGTGTATGATTAATAACTCCGGAATAACCGAGTTAGATTTTTACAAGCTTTTATTTAACTCACTTCCTCTGTCGACAGTCTGTCGTCAGACGTCAGTCGCCAGTCTGTCTAGATCGAAAAGGCTGGGCGAAATTGCAGGCACTGCTGACTGACAGATACGGTTCATAGTTGGAACGTGGGTCAAGACATGAAGACAATGCATCGTGACATTAAATTTGACTTAATTGGATGCCTAATTAATTTTTTATGAATTAATTAAAATGTTGACCAAAGTAGTAGGCATTTCTATCCAACTACTCCACACGTGTCATCACGTTCAATAGCGCGTCATCACGTTCAATAGGCGCACAATGTTTTTTAGTCATGAAACACTATTGTAAATAAAAACATGTAAAGAACTAAAAAAAAGTTCATAAAAAAAACGTTTTTATAACAAACTTGTATGTAATAATGCACAAAAAAAGTAGAAAATAAATTATAGACTACTATTTAAATAACTGTAAAGAAAAGCGTTTGTTTTTATGCTTAGAATTGTGTTTAACTTAAATTGATTAAGAATGTCTATTCGGTAATATTAATTATTATCTAATATTAACATTTTTCGGGCAAACGGCCTTCGGGCAAGTGGCTTTCGGGCATTCGTCGCATTCGGGCAAGTGTCCATTCGAGCATTTGTCCCATTCGGGCAAGTGTCCATTCGGGCATTTGTCCCATTCGGGCAAGTGTCCATTCGGGCATTTGTCCCATTCGGGCAATTGTCCATTCGGGAAAACGTCCGGCTCCCATAGAAAACATAGTGCAAAAAATGTAAATTGCTATCTTGTAAATGAATTTCTGACGATCCAGATTTGGGATGAATAAGTGTTTTACTCAAATCAATAAATACTCAATAAATTTCAAGTGATAAATGTTTAATCATTTATTTTTTATTTTAACATATTTTTGCTTACCATCGCATAACGTACTGTTATTTTGCAAAATAAACATTATTTGATAAAATAATTCAATTTCCTCATTATTTATGCTCTATACACACCACCGCCCACCTTGTAAGATTTATTTTTCAAAAAAAGCTTTCACAAAATTAATTCAAGCAACGAAGGGTTAAGACTGATCGATTGATTTTGTTTTCGTCTAAAGTGTAACAGATGTAAAAACACTTTAATGTATCATTAAAGGTATTTAACTACCTTGTTTTTGTCTTTCTGTTGTTTCTGACTAGATGATCGTTTAATCAATATCAATTCAACACACGCCTTGTCTTATACCAACATGAACAGCTAACTCGATATGTCATTTGTTATACATTCCAGACACCGCAACGTGTTATATAAAGACAGTGACATACTACACAATGGTTATCGAACAATATTAGTCAGTGTTTCTTCCAGACTTTTTTTCTCCGGGGGGCGGGGGGTCACTTGATATTTTCGGGGCGTGGGAAATCAAAATTTCCCTGGGGGGGGGGGGGAGGGTGGACACTGATTAAAGTATATTTTCTATATAAATTCCATTTCTTTCGAGGGGGGGGTGGGCGGTAGACTTTTTTCGCGGTGAGGCCCCTCCCCCCCCCCCCGAGAGATGCCTGGAAGAAACTCTTTTAGTTATTTATAATTAGAGTAGGCCTACGCTTTATGACTTGCTAGGGTCGAGCCGGGTACTGGGCGGTGGGGTACGAGTTCACCCTGTGTTCAGTGGGGTGGAAGATAAGCCTGGTGAGAACCGAAGGACAGAAGCTACCGATACACGGTAATGAAACCGATTCTCCAAGCCAGTTAGTCTTAGCCGTGTTGAGGCCTGCCTGGCTAATAAGACAACTCCTGTACCGATGATGTCTGTAATGAAAGCCTATGCGACAGATGAAGTAGAGTTTATATAGTTTATTTTACCTGATAAAAAAATAGATTGAGCTCAAATGAATGCCCAACCATCTCCACATTACTAAAGTCTAGTAATATTCATATAGGTTGTCTAAATAATATCCAAATTAATTGAAACAATGAACTTAACTGAAAATGTTCCTTTTAATTTAAGTTAAAAAATAATGTTAGTTATGGTATGGAAAATATTTGTTAATTATAGTGCTTGCATTGTGTTAAACATATTAAAAATAAGAACATAGGAAAAAAATCCAGAAACACTTTTAAAAAATGTCGTGGCTTTAAAAAAAAACATTAGTTGATCTACAGTGCTGGTGGGACAGAAATACTAGCCTGGGTAGACAATATGGGTAAACCAAAACCTCACAGTATCATAAGTACGTATTTTTAACTCATTGCACCTGACGTAATCTCATAGCACAAAACGTGACCTCACACCACATTGACTTTACCTTACACCACATTGACTTGACCTCACACCATATTGACTGGACCTCACAACACATTGACTTGTCCTCACAACCTCACACCATATTGACTTGACCTCACATCACATTGATTTGACCTAACACCACATTGACTTGACCTTACACAACATTGACTTGACCTCACACCACATTGGCTTGACCTAACATCACATTGACTTGACCCCACACAACATTGTCTTGACCTCACATTACACCACACGAAGACTTCGTAGCGCCCGTCTTAACCGCGTAGAGCAACCAACACAATATTTCACAGCATGTAGCAAAGGACGGTAACAATAGAATTACTTAAGCGGAAATAGTGAACTTTTTTAAAAATACATTTTTTTAAAAACATTAATGTTTTCACAATTAAAGAACAGAAAAAAAAGTACAGCTTACAATTAAAACCTTAGCAAAAGAAAGCTTCGAAAAGACACCTGGAAGTCGGAACACTCTTTTTTTATTTCCCCCACAAAACCACCCCGACGGTTGTATACTGGGTAAAAGATTAGCGTGTCTCTTAAAGTTGTTGAACACAGCGGGTGACTGGCGTTTAGATCTGTCTTTATCGTGAGGCCTTCCGTATTGCCGTAATCTATGGCTCAAAATATTGAAACACATTGTGTTGAATTTTTTTTTTTAATCATTACACGCCGACAAATTTTACATTCATATATATATATATATATATATATATATATATATATATATATATATATATATATATATATATATATATATATATATATATATATATATATATATATTGTATTTATACATATACACAGACATACGCCTAGGCCTAGGCATAGGCACTGGTCCTGGCCCTGGACATGGACATGGACACAGACAATACTATTTTGATTTATTTTTTGTTTAGTTTTTTGAAAAAAAGTATTTTAATCTAACCTACAACTGACCTGTATCATTACGTTCTTGCGTTAGTTGCTTGTTGTTTGATTATAATCGTGTCGACATATTACGAGCAAGCATTACACACGAACACAATTTAACCTTCTACGCCACTGTTATGATTGAACTTACGACATAGGAGCTATTGTTTCATCATACTCTGGCGTATGGACATGAGTATCAAGGGACGCAACTTCAATAATTCTTGCGAGCTGGACTGACAGAGTTTGTCCCCCTCTTGATCTAAACACTACCATCTGACCAGTAGTTGAACTAGAACAAAACAATACCCACTCCCCTACAATGTGTATACAATATATGCATTATTCACGAGTTACATTTGTGTAAAATATTGTCAAAATCCAAAATGTCGTTGGCCACATTTTCGGGAGACTTGTTTTCCGAATACTATTTGTCGAATCCTGTGAGCGGGTTACCTAACCAGTAAAATGTCATCATCATCATTATTTTTCCTTTGTTGCCCTTGGGGAGCGGAGGGATGATGTTACACTTTACCAGTGGACTCGATTTTGGGCTGCTCCCGTTATCTGTGCCCACGTGAGCCCAGGTCCTTTGCATCTTCCTCAACCGTTCTTCCCCACGATCTCTTTGGCCGATTAACTTTACTTTATCCCTGGGGGTGCCAGTCCATAGCAATTTATGCAATATTTCCTTCTTCCCTTTTTAGGGTGTTACCTATCCATCCACATTTACGGGCCTTGATATTCTTCTCTATTGGCTGCTGTTTTATATTTTGCCACAGGTCTTTGTTTTGTATTTTGTCTGGCCATCTTATTTTAAGTATATGTCGTAAGCAATCATTTGTAAACGACTGTAGCCTATCGGTTTTTTCTACTCAGGGACCTTTAGAACGTTGATTTTTGCGAAAATCTCGTTTTTTAGTTTTGCACAATTTCAATAATTTCTCTATACTTCGTATAGGAGAAATTTTAAAGCTGTTAGAACCGCATTCTTGGGAAAGGGTATTGATTGTACGACAACACGCCGTAAAAAGGATACACACAGTTGCACAATAAAACAAAGACGTTTAGTAGCTTCAGCTTTGTATTGATCAGAAATACTTTTTCTTATGTTAAACATTTAAAAATCGATCATACAGTCCAATGCTGAGAGCTAGGTGTTCTTTTTCTTTTAAAATTACAGTAAAGAGATATTATTATAAACCTTTTAAAACATTTTAGCACATGCACTAATTTCATAAAAAATAAAATAATCAAGCTTAAAATATCCTCTTACTTAGAATGTCTATAAACGCTAATCAGTTTCTCATTCGGTGACGGTTTAGACGATTGGACGTAGAGCTGACTCGATTTCGTTAAAATATTGTTCAGGACAGCAGATGTACCCTACATCATCTGATTCAGCAGGTCATTATGATACGTTTTAGAAAGTTTATTAATATTGCTACAACGTGGCAATTTTTAATTGTTAGATGCTGACACGATTTTACTAGTACGGCCTATATAGTTTCTTTCAGGCATTCAGTTCCGAAGACGTAGAGGATGGAGGCATTTCAATTTCTGGTGGACGTGGAGGGAGCGAGGTAGGGCAAGGTCCGAGGGGGGGGGGGGGAGGATGAGGGATGTAGATACCCCTCCATCCAGGACAGATGGCTGAAAGAATCAATAAGGCAGCGTTCGATAAGTTGTCTCCAGTTAACAGAAAAACAAAGAAATTAAAAGGGTTTAGTTATATTAAAATCGGATATCCCATATGTTACAGATTGAAAAATAATATATATTTGGAAGATATATATATATATATGTGTATATATATATATATATATATATATATATATATATATATATATATATGAATATATATATATATATATATATATATATATATATATATATATATATATATATATATATATATATATATATATATATACAAGATAAATAGCCCGTTAGAGAGACATACAACAGGCGCTATAGTGATAGTGTTCTCTGTTGCTCTGAAACTAAACCAAGACCAAAAAACGGATTTTAATCTATGATCGACAACAGGAAATCGTTTACTGAAGGGTGATAAAAGGCAAAACAAACTTGTCACAAGCACATACACTCACAGAGACACACATACACACACGCATACACACACAAACACTTATATACATACACACATTAAAACTAACGTACGCACGCATTCGCATGCACGAGCGTTGTATTTTCGATAAAGAGTAACCCAGTGTTTACGTCAGTTTAAATTGAATACGAAAGCAGATATCTTACTAAAGGCTCTCGTTAATCCATCACAATAAAGCCACCATTGGCCAGTAATTTGTTGCTTGTTTTCAAAAGTCAATTCCTTGTAAGGTCTAGTGTTTATTAAAGTAACATTTTTTTTTATTCGCATCATATATTACATTAATATTTATATTTCTAAATTTATATTTATTAATGCATATTATTGTTCAACTTCAAAGTAAGATATCAAAAATCCAAGGTAAAAGTTTTTTCTTTACGTTTAGTTCATTATAAATATATATATATATATATATATATATATATATATATATATATGTGTGTGTGTGTGTGTGTGTGTTGTGTTGGTGTGTGAGTTTAGAGTCCACAAGCCCACAATGAAAAGAAAATGATTAAGTCTCTATTTCATATATGTACATACAAACTATTGATATATTTGAGACCAATCTACAGTAGTAAATAAAACAGTAAAAGTTAATGACATTGTTTTTGTGTCATATGGATCGGATCTAATGTTGTAAAAATCCCAAACTGTGACCAAACTGAAACGAACAAAACCCCACTCCAAGCAAAAAGAATGTAGCAAACTACAAATTATCAGACAGAGGATTAGTCCGTGTTATTGATAGGTTGTGTCCCATAATGGCACAGATGTGTCAATGTAGGATGTGTTAACCGTACATCACAATACATTTTTCCCCGTATCTTTCTAGCACAGAGAAAGTACTTCATCAGACTGAATTGTTTCTATTTAACAGTAAAGTAAGTGTTTCTATTTTTTTACTTTCTCATTTACGAAGTAGACTATAGAGGAAGTTTTGTTGTCGTGCGAAAAATAGAAATCGATTTATTCACAAATGTCGACGTTTTACGCCCCCCCCCCCTCCCCCCGGGTTGGAAAAACATAATTTTGCAATGATCTCCTTTTGTCTCTGTGTGTATGTATGTGTGTGTGTGTGTCTGTGAACACGATAACTTGGGTACCGTTACAGCTAGGTAGATGAAATTTCATATAAGTGTTATATTAAATGTGTACTTCTGCATCAGCTTTTCAGCGATTTTCGGTAACCGGAAGTGGAACGTATTCAGCTTTAGTGATATTCATATTTGAAACGTGACGTTATTTAAAATGTAGTTTTTAATTTAAAATTATTCAATACATTTTGTTTCTAAAAACTTAAAACATTACCACTGCAAATCTCCATATTTTCTATATACGTTTTAGATTAGCGCTAAAAATTGTTTCTAAAGTTTGTATTTTTTATATTTTCAGAACATTAGATCATAAAATATGAAAATGATTCAATGTTTCAAGTTTCCATTTATTGTGACCGTAATAGCATTGATTTCTATTACATTGTATCTGACTTGGGTTTCAAAATGGAATAAATTTGAAAATGTGTTAGCCACAGCACAAAAGCCTAACTTCATTCGGCATCAAGATGTAGTAGAGTTAAGGATGGCTCGAGTTAATATCAGTCGTCCTCAAATGAAACAATTTAATCCTGGGGAACTCCCAGAAACAGCTCATTACGTTTGGTGTGGTGATAAAATCTTCACGTTTAGAGATTACTTAGGGGTACTGAGCATTGTTAAAGTTTTAGAACCGCTGAGAATCTCCTTTTACTACAACAGTCTCCCACAGACGGATAGGAGTTTTTATCATTCTTGGTTCACAGAATTACAACAGTCTTTGCCTAGTTTGATTTTAAATAAAATAGATCGACAAATCAAATGTAACACAATGGACGCCGTGGACTTTGCTCTGGAACAAATGGCATCAAACAAAGTTGGGGGCGTCTATGTAGGTGAGAGGGCCGTGTTGACGCATGTCCCTGACACATGGAAGACTGGGAAATATTTCACTTATCAAAAACACGGTAGCTCTAGCAGTGAGGATATGATAGTGTTTGTGAAACAAGGAATTGATGGGAAAAAACCATCCGATCTCAAAAGACTTAAATTGAACGTTTTAAAACAGAAACTGAAATGCTTGACACCGGAACAATTTGAGAAAACAACAGCACCGTGCGTGGTGATATCAGATAAAATATTTCCAGAGAATATCTTAAATAGCTCAACATCTTTTAACGCGCTTTTGAGAGAGTTGTATTACAAACACCAAATTAGGGTAAGCCAATATGAATATTGTGTTAAAACCTAAATAGTTTGAGTTTCTTATAGTGTCGCTGTGTTGGCGGATAAAAATACATAAAGCTAAGTACAAACAGTAGCGTAGCGAAGGGTGGGGGGGGGACATATGTCCCCGGGCGCAAAGCTTAGGGGGCGCCAAAATTGGTTGGAAAAATAAATTGAAAGGTTGAGGGGGTGTAAATTGAAAGTTTGAGGGGGGGGTGCAAATCAAAATCTCGAGGGGGGGGGGGGTTGCAAATCGAAAGTTTGAAGGGGGGTGCAAATCAAAATCTCGAGGGGGGGGTGCAAATCGAAAAGTTTGTCCCCGGGAGCCGGGAAGGGTCGCTACGCCTCTGAGTACAAACTGTATCACACTTAACAAAAGTGTCTGACTTTAATTAAATGTTTTTAATTTTTTTTTTATAGAATCAGAATAGGTAATCAGACGGTTAATACATTTTATTTTATTAACTTTATCAATCATCAACATAGTTTGCCTTATGTACTGAAGACACATGGAGCAACCACAAAAAAGTTTATTCAGTTTTGTCGGTCTCCGGTAATTTTCCTGGCAGTCCTTCAATATAGATATGCCTCTACAAGCTGCAAAATAAACACGAACTTTGATATCTTAACCCACATCCGCACCTACATCCGCACCCACACCCACACCTACACCTACACCTACACCTACACCTACACCTACACCTACACCTACACCTACACCTACACCTACACCTA